ATATAGCTAAGTATTGCACTTACTATTTGTACCACTCATATCGCTAAGTACGCACTGTGAGAACATTATAGCTTATACATTTGTGTAGGCTGTAGTGGGGTAGCCCATAAGGGTACAACCCAATTATGGTTAGTACTTGTACCCACCTGTTTCATAGTTCAATCATTCTCGTTCTAATGTTCACATGGTATAGAGCAGTTTCCCCCGTGGGAACTGTTCCTAGGGCCCACCGACCTTTTTTTTTCCTGCCCGGAGCGCGCTTGGCCCCTGCCCAAGTCGCGCCCCGTGTGACTCCCCTTCGTGGCCTCTAGCGGCCTCCCTCACGGCCCCTAGTGGCCCCCTCGCGCCGTCCTCACGGCCCCGTCGCGCCGCCCTTGCGGCCCTCTTCGCACCGCCCTTGGGCCCCTTTTCCGCGGCCCCGTCGCCGCCCTTTCAGCGACCCCCCGTCGCCGCCTTTCCGCGCCCCATCGCCGCCCTTTCAGCGCCCCGTCGCCGCCTTCCACGGCCCGCCGTCCCGCCTTGCAGCGCCCCGTCGCCGCCCTTCCACGGCCCCGACGCCGCCCTCCGCGGCCCCGTCGCCGCCCCTCCGCGGCCCCGACGCCGCCCTTCCACGCCCCGTCGCCGCCCTCCAGCGGCCCCTTCGCCGCCCGTCATCCGCGCCCCGTCGCCGCCCTTTTCAGCGGCCCCGTCGCCGCCCTTTCAGCGGCCCCGTCGCCCCCCGCCCTTTTCAGCGGCCCCATCGCCGCCCTTCCGCGGCCCCGTCGTCGCCGCCCTTCAGCGGCCCAATCGCCACCCTTCCGCGCCAGCCCCGTCCGCCGCCCTTTCAGCGGCCAGTCGCCGCCCTTTCACGGCCCGTCGCCGCCCTTTCAGCGGCCCCGTCGCCGCCCTTCCGCGTCCCCGTCGCCACTCAGCCGCCCAGCGCCAGAGCCGCCGAACCGCCCAGCCGCCGAGCAACCGAGCCGCCGAGCAGCCGAGCCGCCGAGCAGCGAGCCACCGCCGAGCAGTCAAGCCGCCGAGCAGCGAGCCGCCCTACACAGCCGAGCCGCCCGACCGCCGAGCCGCCCTGCAGCCGAGCCACCCGACCGCCGAGCCGCCCAGCAGCCGAGCCGCCGAGCCGCACCGCAGCCGAGGCGCTTCCGCCTGTCGGCCTGCCCGGGACCGCCCCACTTGCCTGGTAAGAGCAGCGCCTCTACCACTTCACTGCCCTGCCCCACTGTACTCACTGCCTGTCGACTGCTGTCATGGCCTCCCCTAGTGTTCTCACCTTTGACGCTGAGGGTCGGGCAGTTGACTTTGAGGTCTGGGTAGATGATCTGCAACTTTTCCTACAGTGCGATCGGGCAGACGGGCTCTCCTTGTTTGACCTCACTTTTGGTGCCTCTCCTGCCCCTGCTGCTGATGCTGACGCCACTGTTCGCTCACAGTGGGCCACGCGTGATGCCGCTGCTCGCCTTGCTGTGCGCCGCCACTTACCGACCACTGAGCGTGCACACTTTAGCCAGTACAAGAGTGCTCAGACCTTGTACGACGCTGTAGTTGCACGCTACTCTTCCCCTGCCACTGCTGCACTGAGCTGCCTCATGCTACCATACCTCTTCCCTGACCTCGCTGCCTTTCCCACAGTCGCTGACCTCATTACGCCCGACGCACTAGTGACACTTGCTACCGCGCTGCGCTTCCTGCTGAGTTCTGCGCCAAGAACCCCCCCCCCCCCCCCCCATGTACATCACCCTCTACTACATAGTCACCCGGCTCCCTCACTCTCTCCGCATAGTCAGGGACCACTTCCTCTCAGTTTGCCCCACCACTCTCACCGTTGACCTCCTCGAGAAGGCCCTCCTAGCAGCAGAGACGAGTATAGTCGTTGTAGGAGGCTCTCGTGGTGACCCTCGCACCCCCATCTTTGAGGGGTGTTCTCCCTCCCCCCGATTGCCCTCTATTGCCTCTGCTGCTGCGGCCGACCTCGTTGGTTTCGAGTCGGTCGGCGCTGCGTCTGCCCCGAGCGGGAGAACGCCGCACCGCAAGGGCAAGGGGGGCAAGGGCACTAGAGGGGCTGGCGGGGGCGGTGGAGGTGGTGGTGGAGGCAGTGGAGGGAGTGGGGGTGGTGGTGGGAGTGGTGCCGGGGGTGGTGGCGGCGGCGGCAGCAGTGGAGGCGGCGGAGGCGGCGGTGGTGGCGGAGGGAGCGGAGGCGGCGGAGGTGACGGAGGAGGCGGAGGTGGAGGAGGCTGCGGAGGCGGCGGCGGCGGCGGAGGCGATGGTGGGAGCGGGTCGCGACTCTGCGCAGAGGAGTGGCTCAGGTGGTGGTCCGCGCCAGCAGCAGTGGAGTGGTGTGACCCTGTCCCCTCAGCAGCTTCGTGAGTGGTACACTGCGCGCCAGCGCGGTGGGAGTTTTGGTCCCTACACTTACGTCCTCCGTACCGGTGACCGAGCTGGTGAGCAGTGCGGGGCTCGCACTCCACCCAGCGCTGCTTCGGTCGCCTGACGGATGCGTGGCGTCGCCAGTTCCCTGAGGCGTCAGAGATCCCTCGCTGGGGAGATCTGTCTAGGGCGGGGGTTGCCGTCTTTGATCTTGACTATGATGCTATCCTTGGTGCCATGTATTCTGTGACTACTAGTGTTGAGGGTGACTTTTACCTGTGTGTACCCGCCTGACCCGGGCATTGAGGCCACTGCTCTAGGTGCTGGTGAGGCTGCAGCTCTAGGTGCTAGTGTGTCTACTGCCCCAGGTGCCAGTGCGTCTGCTGTCCCAGGTGCCAGTGCGTCTGCTGCCCCAGGTGCTGGTGAGTCTGCCCTCTCAGGTACTACGTCGGCTCAGGCCTTCCACACCTTCACCCTTGACTCGGGTGCGTCCCGCTCCTTCTTTTGAGACCGCACCACTCTTACGCCGCTCAGTCGGCCGGTTGCAGTCTCCCTGGCAGACCCTCTGGGGGTCCTGTCCTTGGCTAGCTTCTCCACTGTCTTACCGTGCGCGGCAGCCCCCTCTGGCACCCTGTCAGGTCTCTACCTTCCCTCATTCTCTACGAACTTGGTGAGTGGAGCGGACCTACAAGATAGGGGGGTTGACCAGTTCACTCCTGCGAGTCAGCGAGTGACCCACTGCACGTGTGCCCGGACAGGCCAACACTTGGCCACGTTCACTCGTCGGCCAGGGTCGAGCCTGTACACCCTTACTACTGAGTCTCCTCCGGGTGTTGAGTCTGGCCAGGTAGCTGCGTCGAGTCAGGTGTTTGCTGCAGCGTCTAGGTCTGGTCCTGAGTCTGCTCCCTGCTCGTGTCGTCTGCTGTCCCACCAGACTCTCCTCTGGCACCACCGCCTTGGTCACCCCTCCCTGCCTCGTCTCCGAGGCATGGCCTCCCGTGTCCTTGTCTCTGGTCTCCCTCGGTCTCTCCCTCCCCTACCTCCAGGGCCTGGCCCTACCTGCGTCCCCTGCGTCAAGGGGCGACAGCGCGCCGCCCCTCACTCCTCCGAGTTTCCTCTTACAGAGGCTCCGCTACAGACCCTCCACATGGACGTGTGGGGCCCCGCCCGCGTCCGTGGACAGGGGCACGAGCGTTACTTCCTGTTGGTGGTTGACGACTACTCGCGTTACACCATAGTCTTTCCCTTGCGCAGCATGACAAAATTAGAAGAAAGAAAGAGGGTTGAACTAGCAGAAATGGGGATACAAATAGCAAACCCTAGAAGGGTTGTACTCGCTATAGAGCACCCCACTACAGGCTAGAACATAAGATAATATTCTGACACAGCAAGGGTGACGTCACTGAGGTGTTGATCGACTGGATCCGCGCAGCTCGTCTCCAGCTCAGAGAGAGTTTCGGCTCAGACTTTCCTGTTCTGCGTCTGCACTCGGACAGAGGCGGGGAGTTTTCCTCTGCCCGTCTGGGAGCCTTCTGTCGTGCACAGGGCATCCGCCAGACCTTCACGCTTCCGACCTCTCCACAGCAAAATGGGATTGCTGAGCGCTGCATTGGCATGGTCATGGACGTCGCTCGTACGTCCATGATGCATGCGGCTGCCCCCCATTTTCTGTGGCCGTTTGCGGTTCAGTACGCCGCGCATCAGCTCAACCTTCAGCCCCGGGTCTCCTTGCCAGAGACCTCCCCCGCCCTTGCGGTGGACGGGGAAGGTTGGCGATGCGTCTGCGTTTTGGGTCTGGGTATCTCGGTCGTTTTGTCCGCGACTTGTCTGCGGACAAGTTGTCCCCCCGTGCTGTTCCCTGCGTCTTCCTTGGCTTCCCCCCTAACGCGCCTAAGTGGCAGTTTTACCACCCCACCTCGCGCCGTGTTCTCTCCTCCGAGGACGTCACCTTTGACGAGTCGGTGCCTTACTACCGTCTCTTCCCCTACCGCACTGCGCCCCCCCCCCCCCCCCCCGCCGCCGCTCTTCCTTGCACAAGGTCCTCCCCCGGTAGACCCCCTCCCCCCTCAGGGTCCTGCCCCGTCAGGTGTTGTCCCAGGTAGACGCAGTTGAGCCTGTCGAGGTAGCTGCTAGAGGTGCTGAGCCTGCGGGTGCCGGGTCTGGGGCTGCGGAGACTGGGGGTGCTTAGTCTGGGGGTGCTGAGACTGGGGGTGCTGGGTCTGGGGGTGCGGAGCCTGGGGGTGCTGGAGCCTGGAGGTGCGGAGCCTGGGGGTGCCGAGCCTGGGGGCGCTGGGTCTGCTCGTGTGGCCGCCGGCGGTGCTTTGTCGAGGCAAGAGCCACTCTCTCCACAGGAGTTGCGCGAGTGGTTTGCCCGCCGCTGGAGACGTGCTGCTGAGACTGGGGGTGCTGCTGGGGCTACTGGAGTTGGTCCTGCTGGAGCTGCTAGCGATACTAGTGCTGGTGAAGCTGGAGCTGCTGGGGGTGTTGGCGCTGGTGTTTCTACTGGTGCTGGTGCGTCTGGGGGTGCTGCTGGGGCTGCTAGAGCTGACGGTCCTACTGGAGTTGGTGCTGCTGGAGCTGGAGCTGCTGGGGGTGTTGGCGTTGGCGGTGCTGCTGGTGCTGGTGCTTCTGAGGGTGCTGGAGTTGGCGCTGTTGGAGCTGGAGGTGCTACTGGCGCTGGTGCTGACCGCTTGGGGTACTGGTGCCGTCCCTGCTGGTTCTGGAGGCGCTGAGCGGCCGAGGCCGTACTTCGTTCCGCTCCTGGAGCAGGTTCTTGTTTCTCCCGCCCTCTCCTGGTCCTGCTCCTTCCTTAGAGTGTCCACAGCCTGTCCAGTCGCAGTCACAGTTACAGCCCGCCTCCCCTCTACCTGCTCCTTCTCCCTACACTGGTCCTACTGGAGGTCTTGCTGAGCGTCGTGCGCCTGCGTCTCGTCCTGCGTCGCCTGTTCGTAGTGCTCGCACTACTGGTCGTACTGCGCGTCCGCGTCCTCCTGCGGTCCCCGGCACACACCAGATGGCACTGTGTCCTTCCACTGCTCCTCTGCGTGTCCCGTTGCCGTCTCCTCCAGAGTCCTCTCTTCCTACTCTTGCTGACCCGGAGTCTGACTCCCTTCGTGCTGCCAGTCCTTCGGATCACGCGTCTCCTTGCTACTGTTGTCACTGACCCTTCCTTTGAGTCCACTGCTGCGTCTACCCTAGTTGCTCAGCTTGTCGACTTTGCTGCTCGCTGTCGTCTAGACTACGCTGCCTGTCTCGTTGCTGAGTCTGAGTCTGTCTGTCCTCCATCCGTCGGGGGTGAGTGTGCTCTTAGCACGGACGTCCTTGAGGACAGGCACGAGGAGTTCCAGTGCGTTGCTGCTGCTTTGCCCCATCTCGTGTCCACACTGAGTGCCCCTGAGGGAGACCCGGATGCACCAGACATCCCGACTCCTCGATCGTACGCTGAGGCGATCGAGGGTCCCTACTCCTCTCAGTGGCAGTCAGCCATGGATGAAGAGATGGCTTTCTGGAAGTCCACAGGCACCTACGTCGACGAGGTTCCACCACCTGGTGCGAACATCGTCAGTGGCATGTGGATTTTTAGGGTGAAGCGGCCGCCGGGTTCTCCGCCTGTCTTCAAGGCGCGTTATGTGGCTTGAGGCTTCAGTCAGCGGCAGGGAGTTGACTACTTCCAGACCTTCTCTCCCACCCCGAAGATGACCACTCTTCGGGTGTTGCTGCACATAGCCGCTCAGCGCGACTACGAGCTTCACTCTCTTGACTTCAGCACAGATTTCCTGCAGGGAAGCCTGCACGAGGAGATCTGGCTGCGCCGCCCAGTTGGCTTCACTGGGGTCGTTTCCCCCTGGTACCCAGTGGAGCCTCCGGCGGCCAGTCTACGGTCTCCGCCAGGCACCCCGTGAGTGGCACAACACACTGAGGACTACACTTGCGGCTCTTGGGTTTGCTCCCTCTACTGCCGACCCGTCGCTGTTTCTGCGCACCGACACTTCTTTGCCGCCGTTCTACATCCTCGTGTACGTCGACGACTTGGTCTTTGCCACTGCTGACACTGCTGGACTCGCCCTACGTGAAGTCCAAGCTGCAAAAGAGACACACGTGCACAGACCTGGGTGAACTGCGCAGCTACCTTGGCTTGCAGATCACCCGAGACAGAGCACAGCGCACCATTACCCTGACTTAGTCACACATGGTGCAGCAGGTCCTTCAGCGCTTCGGCTTCACGTACTCCTCGCCTCAGGCCACTCCTCTGTCTACTCGCCACTCGCTCTCAGCTGTGCCTTTGGATGAGTCCGTAGAGCCGAGTGGCCCGTACCCAGAGCTTGCTGGCTGCCTTATGTACCTGATGACCTGCACACGACCTGACCTTGCATACCCTCTTAGCATCTTGGCACGCTATGTTGCTCCTGGGAGACACCGACCAGAGCACATGGCTGCAGCGAAGAGGGTGTTGCGCTACGTGTGCAGTACGTCGGGCATGGGGCTAGTGCTTGGAGGGCGACGTCGAGTGGTCCTCACAGGTCACGCTGGCGCTTCTTGGGCTGACGACCAGGCTCTGCAGCGGTCGTCACAGGGTTACACCTTCAGCCTTGGCTCCGGCTCTGTTTCGTGGCGGTCTACCCGTTCGTCCTCTGTTCTCAGCTCTAGCTGTGAGGCTGAGATCTACGCACGGGCCATGGCTGCACAGGAGCTACGCTGGCTCACCTACCTGTTGAGTGACCTAGGAGAGCCGCCTCGTTCTCCTCCAGTTCTGTACGTAGATAACAAGGCCATGCTGGCCTTGTGTCGGGAGCACAGACTGGAGCACAGAACGAAGCACATTGCTCTCCGCTACTTCCTGGCTCGTGAGCTGCAGCAGCGTGGTCAGCTCCGCCTCACCTACGTGGCCTGTGAGGCCAACACTGCTGATATCTTCACCAAGGCCCTTCCGCCTTGTGATCATCAGCGCTTCTGTACTTTGCTAGGTCTTGTGCCTACCTTGCCTCACTTGCTCACTTCTT